ATAGATACTTCTTCAAATTGTTGATCACATTAGATAACACGCTCTTTCCCAGAAACTGTAACTCAAGTCTACTCAGAATAGGTGCAGTATGATCCACAGATTGGCCCTATGGGTGTTGAACAAACACAAATGTGTTTCATAGGGATTGGATAGCCGCCCTAGTAGAGGGGTATACTCGAATGCAAGTGGCCAGCTATACTATTGGCTGATATTTAGTTTTTTTTTTAAAAAAACTGTTTCATTTATAGATAATTAATAATCTTAGCCTTATATGACACAAAGCATTAACTGAGAGGCAACAAGTGACGATCGAAATTGTTGTAGGTCTGCTCGTTGACCACAGCACAATGGGGATGTGCTGCTTTATTAGGTTGATGCAGAAGTTATGTTAAACAATGTTAAGGAAATCTTTGAAGTGTATTTAGTGTCAGCTTTATTTTTTTTATTTATTTTTTTTTTTTTCATTTCTTGTGCAATCAGTGTCGTTTAAAAAAATCCTGAAGCTATAAAAATGAGTTCGATATAAACTTACGGAATGGACACCGGTCAGCCTTGAACAATTGTACAGGCTGGTCCAAAACTCACGAAAGGGTTTATTGTACAAGGTGGTGCTGAAAAGTTCCCAGTCTGACTCACTTCTGAGCAAATGACCAAATATCGGAATTTTTTTTTTTTTTTTTTTGTAAGAGCTTTTTGGTTATGCCAAGAACTTTTCAGCACCCCCTCATATTGTTTCTAGTTGATTCCAATTTTTGTTTTGTTATTAAACTCCTTTCGTTTTGTTTTAAATTTATAATATCTTAATATTGAATACAGTTTTCACTATGAGCCAAATGTTCTGTTAAATTTTAATCAATAGCTGTGGTTCACATTTTAAAGATCGTAATCGATAAATTAGAGGAACGAATGATTTAATGTGATTTCTTTAAATCATTACAATTGTAATTTTGTTAGCATAGATTATAAATCTAGATCCATTCATTGTCTTGAACTCTGTTAGAGAAATATTATGTGTTAAAAAAGCTATTACCTGCAGCCTTAGAATAAATGGAAGATATAAGCAAAGATATTTCTGTTATAAAATCACAAATCTGTTCATGATGTAAAGTAGTTGTGGTTTTTAATGGGCAGCTGTTACTTCTCTCATCTTATCTCTTTACTCATCAGATCACGCTCTGACTGACTTCAATATTTTCCTTTACTGGAACCCCACTTCTGATTGGTTAATATTTTGATAAAATGATGATGGGGTGAGCTATGTTGTATTCTTTTGATAATGGAATATAGGAGTGACAAGTTGGTCAAATAGATTTTAATTAGTATTTGTTGTTCACACTTTAAAGATAATAAACTATTAATCTATAATTAAAGGAGTGAATGATTGTAATGTGATTTCTTAGAATCATTTAAGATCATTACAATTGCAATTTTGTTAACATAACTTATAAATCTAGACCTTGTCTTGAATCTTGTTAGAGAGAAATATTATGTTATCCTTTGAAAAGGAGTCAAACAAAACCTCTGTTATATACCATACTTATGAACACTAATGATTATGTCCCAATCTTCATAAATACGTTGGACACTATTGCAAGTGGACGTAATATGCTAAGTAGTCAACCACTAACAGTGGTTTACCTACTTCAGGCCGCTGGTGGATATTGTATTTTGCTGATGTTATAAAGATTACCATTTTCATTTCCAACCTCTATTTTAGTTATTCCTCATTCAGTAACCTTTTCTAGGTTACAACAGCTACCTTCTTGATTTCATTAGCATTAGATAACCTTTTAACCAAATCTGCGAGTATTAATAAAAGTTAATTAATTCTACATCTACATGATCTTCTTGATCTTTGTACTCTACTGTTAATTAATTTGTTCAGAGGAAATCTCAGTTATTTTAGTCATGCTTATAACATGATATTGTACAAGGTGGTGCTGAAAAGTTCTCAATCTGATTCACTTCTGAGCAAATGACCAAATATCAGAATTTGTTGTTTTTTGTAAGGGTTTTTTGGTCATGCCAAGAACATTTCAGCACCCCTCATATTGTCTCTAGTTGATTCCAATTTTTGTTTTGTTGATTTCTTTTCCAGCAGAAAATGTTATTCATCCTTCTGTTGACATTTATTTCTTTTTCTTTGCAATAATAATCTGAATTAGAATGTAAATAAATCCTTTCTATGTATTAGCAAAGGAGTTATACCTAAATGTATAAAATGGAATCACAAATCCCGGAAAACTTCTGATATATTGCAATTCTCACCATTTTTCTACATTGGATTTAATTATTTATATAGAGTCCTATTTTAAAATAAATTTTATTGTAACACTATTTTTTAGATATTCATAATGAAAAAAGATTAATCATAAAATAATTTTAGATCTTCTTTACCTATATAGTTAAGAAATTGATGTAAATTTTGTTTTTAATGTTAGTTGAATATTTTATTACATACCATATGATGTATTTTTTTTTAGATTGTAAAGGTGGATTTAAACTCTGAATTAATTTTGATAGAAAAATAATATGGATAGAACAACAAAAACATACTGATAATATAACAAATACTGCAGAATACCAACACCAATAATCAAAGATTAAGATCCACAGTTCTTCTTTATGCCTGTTCTTCTTTATTCCTTCTACAAACAAATATAAACAGTGGGCAAAGTCATAGTTTTTGCTCAAATAAGCTTAAATCCATACAGGAGAGTAATGTATATAAGAATCGTGCTCACGTACGGACATGAAGCTAGCAGACATAGATTCAAAGAATTTCTAATGAGAGATCGGTTTTCCTTAACCAGGCAACTGAGCTTTGCTTTATCATAATGGTCCCCCCGTGGCCAGATTAGTAATGGAATGCTTTAGCTATAGGAGTGGTTTCCCTCATGGATAAAGGGAGATTCAGGTTCGATTTCTGGTGGAAGGGACATTTTTCTATAGTAGGACTTCTCGATCTAGGATGTTTGATATGAACTTCACTGTTTTAAATAAAACTGAGATGCCAACTCAAACATGTGTCCACACTAAAAAATAACATGTATAATAACAAATATATATATATATATATATATATATATATATATATAATATATAATGTGTATGTATATAAATATGAATATATATATATGCAATTTTTATATATATTATTTATATATTATATATACGCGGTACTTATTGGAAAGCGCTCAATATCAGTGATAGAGCTAACATATTTAGTTGATTGGTGTGAGTTTGTCATTCTGGATTTCACGTTAACTCTTTTTGTCTGACGATCGCAAATAGCGTGAAACCCAGGATCACAAACTCGCATCAATCAATCCAAATTTAATACATATATATATATATATATATATATATATATATATATATATATATATAGGTTGCATACCATCCCAGGAAGAGTGTAAGAAAAAGAAATGAAGAATGATAAACTGCTATGGATGTAAATAGAGACACATTTACCTGAGAATAAGCTTAAATACACATAGGAAAGCAATGTATGTAAGGATCATGCTCACATATATGAAAAAAGTATTCAATCTCCTCTATGATTCTTTTCATCCTGGCAGTATCAATTTGTGTTTCTCAATTGATACAGAGAATTAATCAGTTATTGTATTTTTCTATATGTCATATGTCATATTTTTATTCCAGATGGAGTATAAGAACAGGTTACAAACCATAGTGAACAACTTATTTTGTTCACTTTTCCATTTTTTTTTTTCTTTCAGCTATACCTATACCCCTAGAAATTACTCTCTCGGGTGGTGTTTTTTTGGTGAACACCAATGCCTCTTTTACAGAAGACATATCCTAATAACTTCCTGATCAGAAACTCCCATAAGTAGTACAAAGCTTTCAATACACCATCATCATTAACTCAACTTCACAAGAATCAACACTGTTTTACTGTTGTGATTACCCAGACACATTTTCTCTACACTGTTTATAAAGTGCAATAAAAGATTCAAGTAAAAGTTGTTCCTTATCCATTTATGATAGATCAACTAACAAGAGAAAAATTTGGCTTTGGCCCAATTTGTTTTGTTTTGGATGAACATGGTGTTAGCAAAGTCAGTCCTTTAAAAAAAAATGTTGACACAGAACAGCTGACAAACTGTATGCTTCTCTTTATTGACTAATTCAACTTGTTTTTTCAGGCTCCTTGACACCCAAGATGATGCATGCATTCATACTTTTGACCTTAAATCAAAGATTTAGATCCAGAGTAAATGCCTGTTCTTCTTTATTCCTTCTACAAACAAATAAATATAAACAGTGGGCAAAGTCATAGTAGTTTTTGCCCAAGTATTATTTTTTTCTTCCAGCTATACCTCGAAATCAAAGAAAAGAAAGCAAAGTCAGTCCTTTAAAAAAAAGTTGACACAGAACAAGCTGTATGATATTCTTTTGATAATAGGATAATTTTTTACAATAATGTCCACCCAGTACAAGGCCTAAGAGCCTAACTCAAGGTAGAGGGTTACAGAGTAATAGTTAGAGGGTACAGTTTATGAAATGTGGGGAATATATCTGTTAACCCTAGATTCGAACAGGTTAATATTGCAGTGAACGAAGAAACATCCTCCTGTGAGTCAGTTCCACATGGCAATGATTCGTGGGAACAAGCTGTTCGAGTGGTACTTATATGTCACCAATGGAATTCAAAGGAGATGGGTGTGGTTCGCTACAACGTGCGTAGGGCAGCGGGTCTTCGCTGTGAAATTTAACACTTTCGATGGAAATAGTGATAGGGTAGCGAGAGGTCTGCAACGTTTCGTTTGTGGGAAAGAGGGTGTAAGGTGGGAAATAATTCATCACTTACAAGGACGCGGAGACGCTTTGTGGACTTTGTCGAAACGGGAAAGTGAAAACACGATAGTTCCTGTCCATATACAGCGACAGTGGTGAGTGGGTAAAAAATGAATTTTTCGTTCTTTTGATGGACTGCCCTTCCATACTAAAGAATACCATCTACCCTATTTAAGCTGGCGCCACCTGATATTCCAAAGCGGTCAGCCAGGTACTGAACTGGCGCGACAATGCTTACGTTCGGAGATCAGTCGAGAATCTGTGAATTCTACGTGATATGACCGTGATAAGACTGAACGAACTGCATAGAGGAATATCCCAGATTATTCATGCAGACAACATTCTTAAAATATTAGTCACTTCAGGGCCTGGGGGTCATGGCTCTCCACAGTTTCATTCCCTTATAATCGGTGATTTGGCACGGTTTCTTAGTAAAAAAAAGTAGTAAAGCCGTCTCCTGTTAGATTCTTCCTGGCTTGGAATTCTAAATAATCTTTATCCTAGACTGGCTGCCACCCAAGGCTAGAGAGTCAAGTGTACCCTGCTACTTACCCCAGAGCTAACATACCCGTTCAAAACTTGAACACGGATTACCGAGTCCACGTTCCGCGCCGTACGCGAACCCAACGTCTTTAATTTCAAATTTTAAATTAATAATTAACTTTTTCTTTCACTCACCCTTTTTTAACCCCATTCATATTCCGCTAATATTTTCTAAGAAATGTGCAACTTCATTTTTTATACACTACGTGGCACCGAAACTCCCATGAGCCATTTGTTTACTTCCGGCAACATAGAGCCCATGCCTGAGGAACTGGGAACACCAACCAGCGAAACTATAGTCGCACGCTAACACGTAGATACGTGTATATCTACTAAGTAATACATATCTTTGCTCTGTATAACCGCATTGAGCACTATTACGCATAAATTCATGCATAAATTTAACAATTATTTATTTGCTTACCTGTATATGCACACCAGCACACGCGTACACGCCTGCTTATATTTGGCCGTTTCATTTATCCACTCTACACACACAGAGAGACACAGACATACACACACACACACACACAACACACATACATACATACATACATACATATATATATATATATATATATATATATATATATATATATATATATATATATATATACATATGATAATTGCGTATTTGTGCAACAATACCTTTTTTATACATATTTCGTTAATGGTACTGCGATTAAGCTTTTTATTTAATTTTTCTTGTGTTATTGTGTTTCTTTTCTGAACACAAAGTGTATAAAAATGTTCTGCATATGCGAGAGCTTTCGGTTATTCTTTTAGCCATTGTACGAACACAAGAAAAATTAAATAATGTGTCAATTGTCTTTAATGAAACACACACACACACGTACACACACACACACACACACATATATATATATATGAATAAAATAGACAATCGAAAAATAGTACTTAGACTTTGCCGATCCGTTTCGTAATTTGATTTCTCAAGGCAAATAATGATAAACAAAAGTGAAAATGTTGTGTAGTTACATGAAATTCAAAACTTTTTAAAAGACGCTCCTGTGTAAGCCTCTTTTTGCATACTAATAACTTTTTGGTTTGTTTGTTTTTTTTTTACTAAGAGTGTGCTTTTGCTTTCCATGTCGACAGTGTGTTAAATTTCTCATTGTCGACATTGAAAACAAAAACACACACTTAATCAAAAAAAAAATTTACTAATATCCAAAAATAGGATTACACGGGAGCATCCTTTTAAAATTTTTGAATTACATGTAACTACAATACATTTCGCTTTTGCTCATCTTGCTCTGATAAAGTCAAATGACGAAAAGTGTTGGCAAGGACTAAATACTATTTTCCGATTGTCTATTTTATTAAATTTGTCTTCCCTACAGATTTATTCTGAGAACTTTAATATATATGTGTGGGGGGTGCCTGTGTGTGTGTTTGTGTGTGTGTGCTTAAAATATATATATATATATATATATATATATATAAGAGTATATTAATTTGTCTTTTCTACAGATTTATTCTGAGAACTTTAATATATATATATAATATAATTTAATATATATATATATGTTAAAGTTCTCAGAATAAATCTGCAGAGAAGAAAAAATTGAATATATGTGCTTATATATATATATATATATATATATATATATAAGCACACTCACACACATACATTGTTTACTTTATTAAGTACACGCGAACATTTTTTTAATCATTTCACCCCAAGCAAAACAATAAAGCCACTAGGATGTACTAGGTTACTGAGTATTACATAATATGAGCTAAAAAATACTATTAACGGGAGAGAAGAATAAAATAACAAGAATTAAGAAGACAGTAGATAACGATTGAAATTGCATTTAAATTTTTGAAAATCAAACTTGACTGAAAAGCAAGAAGCTGAAAGAGAGTTATACAAGCGAGAAGTGTCATAGAAGAAACTGTTTACATAGAATTTACACCTACATTAACCCATTTCAACTGTAACATGATGAGATCTTGCTGCCAATCTATTAGCGCGCCTAATTTTAAAAAGTTTAAGTACCATAGAGGAATGTTCATCAGAATAATTAGCATAAAATTATTTATAGAAAAGACACAGGGAGGGTGTGAAATAACTGAAGCCAAGATTCCAGGTCATGATCAATAACACTGCAGATTCTTCTTTGGATTTTCTCAAGAATCTCTAAATTTATAGCAGGAGCACCAGGCCATATGTGACAGCAATATTCTAATCATGGGTGCATGGTAGACTTATAGATATGTAAGATAGATTCTGTTGAGAAAAATTATCTAGTATGACATAGCGAACCGACTATCCTAGCTGCAGATTTAGCAATTGATTCAATAAACGTTAGTTCTGGAAGGTGCAATCGGTCACTCTCCTGGAGGTTGGTAAAAGTTGATAGAAGCGGATTTTCACACATAACCGTCTCTCGGGTTTACAGAGAATGGTCAGAAAAAGAAAAGAAAATCTCAGCGAGGAGCAATACTTTGGGCAGAATTTTTTGATGAAAAAGGTCAGAGGTTAATGACCAGATCGGTTCAAGTTGACAGGACCATTAATCATCTGAGATTATGGCTCTCATGGCTGATGCTTTCCTCCAGGAAAGGGACCCGTTCCTAACATTCTCAGCTCACATGAAGTGGAAAGACTATATTGCGTCCATTGCTAGGTCAGCTGCTAATAAAGTCGGTTCACTGTCTCGTTTGAGACAATTTTCTCTCCAGAATCTATCTTACATATCTATAAGTCTGCTATTCGTCCATGCTTTGTAATGTGGCGGAGGGGGAGATTTATATTCTGAGTGTAGCCAACCAATCTAGAAGAATTACGTCGTGCCATAATGAAAAAACTTCTCGGGCTAACATTCTCAGCTGACATGAAGTGGAAAGGCTATTTTGGATCCATTGCTAGGTAGAGCTGCTAATAAAGTCGGTTCAGTGTCTCGTGTGAGACAATTTTCTCTCTAGAATCTATCTTACATATCTATAAGTCTGCCATTCGTCCATGCTTTGTGATGTCGTGTGGGGGGAGATTTATATTCTAACTGTGTAGCTAACCAATCTAGAAGAATTACGAGGTGCCATAATGAAAAAACTTGGACCCAGATTCCGAAAGAGTGCTTCCAGAACATCGTCGAATCCATACCAAGAAGAACTGGGGTGGTTCTTAAGGCAAAAGGGTGTGGTCCAACCTAGTACTAGAAGAGTATACATAATAAAGTTACCTGGCCTATAGGGGACGGTATAAAGAATTCGTGTTATGTTCATAAATAGCCTCGTTAGATCAAATCGATGTCATACATCTCTTTCTCAGATCAATAATTAAAATGGTTTTAAGCGAATAAACCCTATTGGTTCATACTTCTTTAAACCTCGCTTGATGGAGCTACATAATCACCAAGGACTCTACCCCTTCCCCCCCCAAAAAAAAAACGTATCACTTGATGTCTTTCAACAGTAGAATAAAAAAATTGGATATTACACGTGACTCATTGAAAAAACAATAACATAATATATTGATTTTACACACCACTTTTGACAAAAGGTAAGGAAGGAAGAATCCATCAGTACTGGAAAGAGCGATAACAGTTAGTGAACTTAAGAAACCTATTTTCCGAAAAAAATTGTTTCAAGAGAAATGGTTACAAAATTTTCAACCTGTTTTTTTGGGGGGGCGGAATTAATGCCGAATGTTTCCATATGAGGAAACGACTAATAACATTAGTAATCACTGTCCGTGATTTCCTTGAGGTTGTAGAATATATCAAGCACGGATAGGAAAAATACTGAATACGTTATGAAATAATAGTGAAATATTACATATACAACGACAGATTTAGATAGATAGATAGATAGATAGATAGATATAAACGTATTGAGATAGATAGATAGATAGATAGATAGATAGATAGATAGATAGATAGATAGATAGATAGATAGATATGAACGTATTGAGATAGATAGATAGATAGATAGATAGATAGATAGATAGATAGATAGATATGAACGTATTGAGATAGATAGATAGATAGATAGATAGATAGATAGATAGATAGATAGATATGAACGTATTGAGATAGATATGAACGTGTTGAGATAGATAGATAGATAGATAGATAGATAGATAGATAGATAGATATGAACGTATTGAGATAGATATGAACATGTTGAGATAGATAGATAGATAGATAGATAGATAGATAGATAGATAGATAGATAGATAGATAGATAGATAGATATGAACGTATTGAGATAGATATGAACATGTTGAGATAGATAGATAGATAGATAGATAGATAGATAGATAGATAGATAGATAGATAGATAGATAGATAGATAGATAGATATGAACGTATTGAGATAGATATGAACATGTTGGGATAGATAGATAGATAGATAGATAGATAGATAGATAGATAGATAGATAGATATGAACGTATTGAGATAGATAGATAGATAGATAGATAGATAGATAGATAGATAGATAGATAGATAGATATGAACGTATTGAGATAGATAGATAGATAGATAGATAGATAGATAGATAGATAGATAGATATGAACGTATTGAGATAGATATGAACGAGATAGATAGATAGATAGATAGATAGATAGATAGATAGATAGATAGATAGATAGATATGAACGTATTGAGATAGATAGATAGATAGATAGATAGATAGATAGATAGATAGATAGATAGATATGGACGCACTATTATAGATATAATCAATAATCGTCTTTGTAGTCTCGAG